TTTTTAAATTTATTGTTGCCAACCATGGACATATTCGGCGCCGGCGCCGTGCTGACTAACTGGAATTTAAATTTCGCGCTGGGGAGTCAGGTGGTAGCTCTGCTGTAAAAAATGTCAAGCTGCCACATGTATTTATTTATTTCCTTAGATTGTTAGTCGTTTTGACACTTTAGTTTTGTATTACGAGTAGGGAATGCAATCCCGCAAATGCGGAATCTCTCTGAGATTCCGCGGGATCTAAGTTGCGGGATTTACCGTGCGGGATCTGCGGGATCGACACATTACTACTGGGTAACCGAATCGATCTCGATCAAAGTTAAACCTCTTCGTTCCGGGCCGATGCGACGGCGCTCGGAACCCGAGGGATTCCCCTTACGGCTTTGTCATTAAAAGTAAGTGAAAGAAACAAGTTAGTTGTTAGATTTCTTTCTGGCGTATGTGCATAAGTGAAGAAAAGCGTTTAACTAGTACTTGTGGACAATTTCGTCAAATAAACTGCCGGACATAATTATCGGGACAAGCAAAATTTTAAGGTAAATTTAAAGTTGAATATCTCTTGAACGAAAAAAGATTTTGGGATGCGGTTTGGACCAGGTTTTAGATGCATCTATTGTGATTAAGATGCTATGTGGTTTTCAAAAATATATTTAGCGAATACTCGTATACAGAGTGTTTTATAAGAGTGCGAAAATTTGGTCAAGAATCTTTTTTACCACAAATTTACAATTTTTAAAAAATCGAAATTTTTACCAAGTACGACTAATCTGTATTGAAATTAGAAAAAACAATTTGATCGATTTTTTATTTTTTTTTTGTTTTAAGAAAAATACGACGTTTTTTCGAAAATATGCATTTTTAGTCATACGTATGGTCCTAAATGGTACAAAAAAGTTTGTACATACTGCATATGCCAAAAAATTATTGATATAGAGTGTATCTAAAAGCAGATAACTAACACAAGTTAAAAAAAAAACTTCAACATCAGAATAATATTTTTATTTACAAAATAAGTAGATAAATTAGGTATAATAAAATTTAAGTTTATTTAATATTAAATATATTTTTGATCACCCTGTACAGCTAGTTTAAGATACACGCTATATCCATATATTGTGGGCCTATGCAAAATGTACAATGCCTTTTGTACCATTTAGGACTATTGTTTACAGTCCCGCAATTTTGCGGGATTGATTGCTTTAATCCCGCGGGTTTGCGGGATTGAGGTTTTGGTGCGGGATTGCATTCCCTAATTACGAGTTTTTTGTTTAAATAAATAATGTTGTGATACTTTAAGCTTAAACATTTTTACTAGCAGATCTTGCAGTCGAACATTGTTCTTTTTAAAATCTCTTTTAGTGCGAAGTGTACAAGATAGCTTAATAGCCGTTGCAGTTGGCAAACAGCAGAACATTCTACATTCTACAACCTTCTTAAGAGTCTATTACGCATTCAAGGGTCGGGAAAAGCCGGTGTGTGTTAAAATATATATTATATTTCAGAAATCTGCCTAAGGCTTAGCCCGATCCTGTCTTGCTAAGATACAACCAAAATTCCAAACACACGTGCTTTGATTAAGGCTTGATTAAGGTTTGCAGAGCTTCAGCATTTGCCATAAAATAGCGAGCAATTTGTTACAAAAACCATACAAATTATATATCACTGTAATCACAAAACTGCAATCTATTTCTCTATTGTAACGGAATTTTAAATTATGTCTTTATTTTCGAGAAATTTAGTCCAAACATAAAGAATATTTTGTTGATGTTTGACTATCGAAATCTTGAAAATAAAGAAGACTATATCCGTATCTATGAGAGTATACAGGGTGAGTTTCCTACGATGTTCTCTATGGGTATCTCGGAAACTACTGGAGATAGAGAGTCACTTAAATGGGGAAAGAATAATTCTTTCCCCATTTAACTGACTCTCAGTCATGATGGAACCACTCTATTAAGGCGCGAGTATCTAAATTTAACTTTTCTAACATGTCTTGAAAACCGTTCTCTAAAAAACGTAAGTAACGTTCACCGGTGTATCCTCGAAACTGTATGGTCAGGAAAAGTTGAACCAATAATCCTACACGCTTTTCTTCATTTAAAAAACTCGTATTTACAATTTTTATTTATTTTAATTTACAAAGATTGGATATGACAATTTCACATTTCTGAGAGGAACGACGATTGAACTTGTTTTCATGGCTAACTAAGCGAAATTAGTCAAGAAAGATAAGAATTGGCTATAACTCAGTAATTTTGTGAAAGAAACATACTATAGCTTATACCGCTGAAAAGCTTAAAAATTACGCTTTTTATGAAGTCATGGCCAACTATGGTTTCCATTTAAAAAAACATATGTTTGTGTCATATGTCAAAAATGACAGGCTTTAGAAAAAATCGGAGAACACAATCTCATTAGGGATGTGATTATCTACAACTTTTATCTGAAAACTTTTTGTCTAAAATAGATTATAATGGAATTAAGTAGCCAAAATTTGTTTTTTTCAAAATATCTAGTAAGCCATGAACTTTTTCAAAAATCTGAAAGGCGCATATTTATGACCCTAAAAAACTGCAGTTCTTTCCCCATTTAACCGACTCTCTATCTCCAGCAGTTTCCGAGATGCCCATTGAGAACATCGTAGGAAACTCACCCTTTATATGACCTAAGGTGATATTCACACAGTTCATTTTCTTCTAAATAATACCGAGGCCGAGAGTTTGGTTAAATTAGTAGGAATAGAAACAATTAAACAAGCCGACGCCTTTGCGGATTTTAATTAAAACATTTTACTCTGATGTAGACCATCTAATTAGGATGGTACAGAGTCTACGTGCGTACAACAAAGTGGTGCATTTGTGTGCGTTTCTTTTTGGTAAAGTTTAGCTGGTTTGCTTGCTTTTGTTACCTTGTGAGCTGCACAGTGTATTTTCAACTTTATAAAATAGATATAATAATAGCTCTAACAATACAATATAGATTAATAAATGCCCTATAGAAAACAATTCTCAATAGTTATCAATATACACTATCGGACAAAAGTAGAGCATGATAATGTATACAAATACAATAAATTTAAAAACTACGAAGTAGGCAATGAGTATCCATGACAGCAAGAATTTTTACTATAGTCTATAAAATGAATAACTTTGAAGAAATAGAAGAACAAGGTGGTTTCCGCGCTGGGCGTTCTTGTATACAAGAACATATTTGTGTTACAACAAACAACATATTTGTGTTACAACAAATAATTGAAAAAAGGAGAGCTCGAAATTTGGACACGCATCTGGTATTTATAGATTTAGAGAAAGCCTATGACACGGTGCCTTTGAAGAAATTATTTGAAATCTTGGTTGAAGCAAATGTGAGTTAAACATATATCAATGCAATCTGGAATATGTACAAAAATCCAAAAAGTATGATCAGACAGGGGAAGTTCCTATCCGAATCCTTCCTGACATCTAAAGGACTTAGACAGGGGTGCAGTTTATCACCTACCTTATTTAAAATATATATCCAGGAGGCATTGAAAAACTGGAGAAGGAAGAGTAGAGCTCTGGAATAGAGATTGACAACCACTGTCTATCGACCTTGTTCTTTGCAGACGACCAAGTTATTGTTGCAGGTTGTGAGGAGGATGCCGACTATATGTTGAGGAAACTTGAGAAAGAATACGACAGATGGGGACTCAATATCAACCTCACAAAAACCGAATACCTGAAAGTAGGAGAAGAACAAACTGAAGATCCTAAACTACACATACATGAAATTAAAAGATGTAGCGAATATAAATATTTAGGAAGTATTATATCTGAAGAAGGGAACTCCAAGAAAGATATACATAGTAGAGTTCAACAAGGTAAGAAAGTAATCGGTCTTTTAAACCCTCTCCTGTGGTCAAATAAAACATCCATCCAAACAAAGATAAGGATTTACAAAGCAATCGTAGATCCAATTTTAATATACGGTGCCGAATGCTGGCAATTTACAGCAAAAGAAAGAAGGATGGTCGAGTCAGTGGAGATGGACTTTCTCAGAAGAGCATGTCGCATATCAAGGATGGAACACATTAGAAATGAAGAGATCAGGCAAAGAAAAAGGCGAATATACACCAGCACCGACAACATCGAATCGAGGCAGCTACTATGGTATGGGCACGTAAAAAGATGGCCAAAAAGGGCAATGGAGTATCGTCCCCAAAGTAGAAGGAAAAGAGGAAGACCTACAACTACGTGGTTAGATGGAGTAGACCAGTACATGAGAGACAGAGCTATTATCCAGGAAGAATGGCAAAATCGAGAGCAATATGGAGGTCGAAATGCGGGATGCGGCAGAAGCTGTAGGACCCCCTTAGGGCTTATATATATATATATATATATATATATATATATATATATATATATATATATATATATATATATATATATATATATATATATATATATATATATATATATATATATATATATATATGGACAAATCTTCCCGAAAATGTCATTCAGAAGTTGATTGCTTCAATGCCGCGCCGTTGTCAGCAAATTATTAATAATAATGGATATTCTATCAATTACTAATGTATTACTTTCAATTATTATTTTTTTTAATATTTTGATTATTATTTCAATTATTTATATCTGTTAATACAATTTGTTGCTCTATTTTTGTCCGATCGAGTTTTGGTATGTTAGTATATGATATAAATTAGGATTGATTGACGTATTCAGTTGTTTTTGGCCACTTCCTGTTTCACCGGAAATGACTACATTTTATTCAATTAATTAATTTGTTTAATGTAATTATTCAATTTGATTTTGATTTTTTACTTTTTTCATATTTTCATTTTCAAAATCAAATGTTGTACCTATTTTTTGATTAAAACTGTGGTTGTAAATAAAATAAAACACAATTTATTTTCTCGAGATTTTTGTTAATCTTTCAAAAAATATCTAATCAAACAAAAAGTGAGAACGAAATTGAAGAAAACAAAAACATTGTTATATTACCGTCAGCAGTTGTTCTGTAGTTCATATTGGAAGCAATCAGGTGTCTTATAAGCAACCTGGGCAGTTCTCTGTTGAACGACAGATATATCCAGGGGTTGACGCAACTGTTCAAACTGAAGAGTAGATTTAGAATCGTGTATGTAGAGCCTGAAACAAAAATAAAAACAGAGGTATAACAAGAATTTTTAAGAATGTGGATCATAAGCTTCGGTACAGAAACGGGTGGCCAATTAAGAATGGACGCCGGCTGTATCTCATAAACTACTTATCGTAGAACGTTGGGAAAAAATTCTAATAAGTAAATCGACCAAGAGAAACCGCTGGAAATTATTTTCAAGTTTGAAAAATGCCCGCTAGGGAGCGTTTCTCTAACAGCCAATCAGAAAACAGGGTTTTTCTCAAACATATGCAGGTGAACAGGTATTTTAAATATTACTATTGTAATCACCGAGAAATTTGTAATTTGATTGGTATAAAGTATTTTGCTCTATCTCTAAGTGGTGGGGAAGGTTAAACTTGCATTTATTAAAATAAGGATAACTCTGGTTTAGGTTACGCGATTTAAACAAACTAGGGCTCGTTTAAAAGAGCTTTTCTTCCTTAATGACCTCCAGTATAAATTTTGTTTCCACAATTTTTTTCGTGGTAGCTAGAGGGTGCTGTTTGACATCATAACAGATACTGCGCTTTTGCGTAAAAAAGTTTAAATAGGAGGCTATATTTCCCTTTCCACAGTTAAATAGAGCACAAAAGTGTTCGGGAAGGGTTCATAGTTTCATATATATAGGATCCTATATCTCCTACGCGGAGCAAAGGGCTTCAGTGAAAGCTCTCCATCGGGTTCTGTTTTTGGCAGTTGTTTTTGCTTCCTTCCATGTTGACCCTACTTGTTGAAGCTCATCCAGTATAGAACGTCTCCATGTTTGAGCAGGTCGTCCTTGCTTTCTTTTTCCTTGGGGATTCCACTCCAACGCTGATCTCGCTATATTACTATCAGGTTTCCGCAAAGTGTGACCTATCCAACACCATTTTCTTTTGCGGATTTCAATGCCTACTTCTTGTTGGCTTGTAAGAGGAAGCAGGTCGGTGTTACGTACAGTGTCTAGCCAAAAGATTTTAAGTATTTTCCGCAAGCGGCGATTGATAAATACCTGTGGACGGTTGATGGATATTTTTGTCACTCTCAATGTCTCGCAGCCATATAATAAAACTGGTATGACGTTGGAATTGAATATTCTTAATTTTTTTGTATGGAGAGTTGACGGGAGGTACAAACTGATTTTAGTTGGCCAAAGGCTCGCTGCGCCTTCCTGATCCTGCTGACAATATCCGCGTCTGCGCCACCGTTTGCTGTTACAATACTTCCCAGGTAAGTAAACTCTGTTACATTCTCGACATGTTTGATTCCTACATTGAATGGAGTGTTGTTGTTTGTGTTAATGCGCATTGACTTTGTTTTGTCGATGTTTATGCTTAATCCTACTTTGTCTGCCTCTGTTTTTAGACGTCTGTGCTTCATTTCCATGTCTTTGAAGGATTGCGTTGTGAGACAGATATCATCAGCATAATCAAGATCCGTCAGATGCGATGTCAGATAGTTTCATAGTTGTCGATTTTCGAAAGAAATCAGTAAATGTATATTATTTCGTATATTATTCATTTTATTGATTTTATGGAAAGCACTGTTCATTAAAATGTTGTATCCTCTGTTATAGAGCTTGTATCTCTCTACAATTTCCTGTCTCGCAATGTACAGTTTGTGTCCAGGAAGGGTTCATAGTTTCATAGTTGTCGATTTTCGAAAGAAATCAGTAAATGTAGATATATTATTTCGTATATTATTAATTTTATTGATTTTATGGAAAGCACTGTTCATTAAAATGTTGTATCCTATGTTATAGGGCTTGTTTCTCTCTACAATTTCCTGTCTCACAATGTACCATTTGTGTCCGGGAACGGTTTATAGTTTCATAGTTGTCGATTTTCCAAAGAAATCAGTACGTGAATATTATTTCGCATATTTTTCATTTTATTGATTTTATGAAATGCACTGTTCATTAAAATGTTGTATCCTATGTTATAGAGCTTGTTTCTCTCTACAATTTCCTGTCTCACAATGTAACGTTTTTGTCCGGGAACGGTTCATAGTTTCATAGTTGCCGATTTTCGAAAGAAATCAGTACGTGTACATTATTTCGTATATTTTTCATTTTCTTGATTTTATGGAAAGCACTGTTTATTAAAATGTTGTATCCTATATTATAGGGGTTGTTTCTCTCTATAATTTCCTGTCTCACAATGTAACATTTGTGTCCGGGAACGTTCATAGTTTCATAGTTGTCGATTTTCGAAAGAAATCAGTACGTGTATATTATTTCGTATATTTTTCATTTTATTGATTTTATGGAAAGTACTGTTTATTAAAATGTTGTATCCTATATTATAGGGCTTGTTTCTCTCTACAATTTCCTGTCTCACAATGTACCGTTTGTGTCGGGGAACGGTTCATAGTTTCATAGTTGTCGATTTTCGAAAAAAATCAGTAGGTACCTTCGCTAGCCGAATTAGAGAAAATCAGTGTTTTATGTGTTACGAGTAAACGAGTAGAGGCTCACCCGTCCATCCACTGGCATCGACTAATGTCGCTTAATCTTGGTGATCTATCGGGAACCGGTGTTGCGATGTAGCTAGGTCGTTTGCCCCTTTAATATGTTGTTGCCTCAAAAGGAAAATAAGGAAGAAAAGAAAAAAAAGAAGACGATAACCTACTGTTGCCAATACATAAACAGGCTTCATCTTGTATTTCCAACAAAGGAAATTCGAAACGCCGCTTTGCCAGGGTTTTTCCTCAGTGACGGTTCGAACGGAAATCCGTCTCCTCGGGAAAATTGATGCGAATATGATTTCTTCGGATCGCGTTCGTATTTTTTCGTTTATTTTCTTCCAAGTTTGGCTCGGTAATTATCTCCAAGTTTATAGCGGCAAAATGGCCTAAACTTTAAATTGTTTCCCTTAATTTTCCTGTTTTTAATATTACTTAATGCATTCTGTGAGTCTCGAGATAATCCTTGGGTATTAAATAGTTCAGTAGTAGGTGTTATTGTTTTAGGTAGATTTATGTGGGCAAATTTGGATCGTGGTATATTTTATCAAATTTAGTAATTACATACATACGTACAGTTATTACGATTACATACATACATACATACGATTTTTTATTACCGGTAAAAATAACCTGTGAATTCTACTGTTATACAGGGTGGTCCGAACTGTATTCCGGAAACTTCGGCAGCATATTCTGCAGATAAAAATAAGTAAAAAAGTTCGTATAAATGTATGTCCTAAAATGCTTAGTTTCAGAGATACAGGGTGTAGAAGTTTCATTTTTATTACGATTTTTTCCAAATAGTTTCTGAAGTAACGTCATTATTTGGACGAAAATTGGTGTCTGGGAGTTTTTTGACATGACAAATTTGATTTTGATGTCAATATGACTCCTACTAGTAGAGGGCGTCACTTACATGTGTTTTAACTGTTTTGAAGCGTAATAACTTTTTGTCCGTTTGGTTATATATAATAATATACATCTCTGTGACTTTTTACGTAAAAAATAAAACTTTGTAAAAATCGCTGCGAGCAACCTTTCTCAAGTTATTTAGAATGGAAAGAGTCAATACATGTCATTATTCACGAAAAATAAACACGTTGAGTAGATAGTTACTTCACAGAAATAATAAATTTGGGAAATTTTATTTTTTTAAATTAATCATAAATTTTTCTGCAAAGAAATAACGATAAAACAGTTTCTGTTAAACTTTTGCCACATAAACATTTCAAATTTATGGTGTCAATCTAATAACTATTTAGTCAACATGTTTAATTTATGTCAAAGATGACAGGTATTGATAATTATTTAGAAAACCATTACTTGTAGCGATTTTTACCGAGAGACCTTTCTTACGTAAAAAACGTCGTAATTGTATATTTTTTTACTCAGTAGTTTTATACAGGTACGAACGAAAAGTTATTACTCTTCAAACCAGTTAAAAAATATGTAGGTGGCGCCCTCTACTAGTAGGAGTCATATTGACATCAAAAACAAATTTCTCATGTCAAAAAACTAGCAAACACCAATTTTCATCCAAATATTGACGTTAGTTCAGAAATTATTGTTAAATTATTGTATTGTGTTGCAACGAAATTATAATTAAAAGAATAAAGAATAAAATTTAATTAATTAATAAAGAATATTTCCGGAATACAATTCGGACCACCCTGTATATATGGTGGTGAATTGTTATTCCGGAAACTTCGGCAGCATATTCTGCAGATAAAAATAAATAAAAAAGGTCGTATAAATGTATGTCTTAAAATGCTTAGTTTCAGAGATACAGGGTGTAGAAGTTTCAAGAAATCAAATTTCTCATGTCAAAAAACTCCCAGACACCAATTTTCATTCAAATATTGACTTTACTTCAGAAATTATTTGGAAAAAATCGAAATAAAAATGAAACTTCTACACCCTGTATCTCCGAGACTAAGCATTTTAGGACATACATTTATACGAATTTTTTACTTATTTTTATCTGCAGAATATGCTGCCGAAGTTTCCGGAATACAGTTCGGACCACCCTGTATATAATAAATTTTGAGTTTAGGTTATGTTAAAGTCAACTGGCCAAGTCACTTGAATTAATTTCACATGAGTGTAATATGACTATCTAAACTCGACAAATCATACCAATTTTTCAAATGAGTTAATTCATATCTCAGTTATGTTATTCTGTTGTTTAACTTTTGACATTCAAGTAATGTTTTTAAAATAACTGTAAGTAGGTGGTCAGAAGAAAATTCTGTAAGATTTGTTAATGTTTATGAAAAATATTAGTATGTATGGAATAGAATCCAAAATACAAAATTAGGAAAATAAAGTAATTTATAGCAGTTACGCATTAATGTGTTTTGTTTTTTAATTTTCGGTGCAATTTATTCTTCAAATTATGGGTTTGTTAGTCAAGTTTAATATCTATTACCATAAATCTCGTAAGCTGTCAAATGCCACAGTTATTGGAAAAACTAAATTCGTTCCCGATGGGATGCTCTAAACATTTTACTGTATTAAATAGAATATTTTTCTGGTTTTACGA